GCATGGAATTGGGTTATTGTTCTGATGATATCACAAATCACTACCAAGCAATAACATTGTTAATGAATGCATTTGGGAACATACTTTAATTAATGAGGGTTAACTTTCCAAACTAAACAAGGTTAAAAGGAAAATGGAAAAAAGAGTGTGTAAGGATAAATGATACAACGGCCTGAGAAAGAGCAACCTGAGAAAATTCAGGAATTTCGGCTGATTAGCCTTTGTAACGTTATTTACAAAGCTTTTACTAAAATTGTACCTAATAGAATCAAGCAATTTTTGCCTGATATTATTTCCCTCAATCAAAGTAGTTTTATCCTTAGCATACTTAGCTCTGATGGTATTATTGCTACCCAAGAAGTCATCAATTCTATGCATACTATGAATGGTAAGAAGGGATTTGTAATCACACAGAGCATATATAATACAATGTCTATAGATGCACAATACGATATTCATACATTATCAACATAATGTTCATAAATTCTCAATACAAAGTCCATGCTGTTAAGTAGATCAGTAGATTTAATAAAATATACAAGTTACGCAGACAATATATGATATAATGTTCATGAATGCATAACATGATATTCATGCATTCTCAATCAAATGTCCGTGCATGTCAAGTTGATCATTCCATTACTTTTAGTTTGTTTCTTTCATTTTAATTAAGGGTAAAATTGTACTTTTGCTTTTAAGAAAAATTGTAAAAAAAGCTCTTGGACCTACAATGTGTTATCATAATTTATTAGGCCTAAAGCGTAATTTTTTATTTTTTAAGTGCAGTACGATTATTCCTTTTTTTGGCTAAACAAAGATAATCCAATATAATGCCTAGCATTTCAACTATAACCTTTGTCACACTCAAAAAATGCGACACGGACGGCACACGAACAAAGGTTTCGGCCTTTAGGGTGGGAACCGGCTAAACGGGAAGTCGCCATCTAACTTTTGAAGGAAATCTTGAAAAATCAATTAAAGGAGAATAAGGATAGTCTGTGAAAACAAAAAATAAGTTCGGGAGTCTATTGAGTATGGGGAAGGTGTTAGACACCTCACAACACCCGTTCATCAGAACGGTTATATGAAGTTTGTTATGTTATATTAATATGGTTTCAAATTTATTTTAATTATTTTTTTTATTTATGTGTTTGATATAAAAATGATAAGAATTAAGTGAGAAATATTTATTTACTTACAAGGAAGGACTTGACTCAAAATCAAACTCTGAGGCCTACGTACCTTGCGATGAAGATCAAAGTCCATGTAGTTTGGGCTTAAAAATTATTGATGAAAATATTTTTTTGAAGAGAGATTAATTAGAAATAATTTTTAATTTTGCAAATAAAATAATTTTTAAAATTTTGATATGTATGTTTTAAATTACAAAAAGTAATTTAATTTTAATTATTTTTTTAATTTTTGAATTTTTGAAATAAAGAAAAGAAAAGAGCTTAAAAATATATTTTTTTTATATTTTATGATTGGGAATTTAATCGCTATACCTATAGAACCTTATTGGTTTATACGGTAATGTAATTATTCTAAATATCTGCAGAGATTTTGAAATCTCACACGATAAAAGAATTTAGCAACTTAATTAATTTATTTATATTCTTATGTATATTTTTAAGTATTAATAATTTTTTAAGTATGAACGTACATATACACTTTTTTCAAAAAAATATTAATCATCATACCTGTAAAGCCTTATTGACTTATATGGTAATATAATTATCCTAAATATTTGTGGAGATTCTAAAATCTCACACGATAAAAGAATTAAATTTATTTAAATATATTTTTATTAATTTACTAGATTTATTATAAATGTATATAATTTACATGAAATCTTAATCATTATACCTACAGAGCTTTATTAACTCACGTGGTAATGTGATTATTTTAGAAATCTATGAAAATTTAAAAATCTCACATGACTTGAAGATCTCATTAGTAAATGTGATTATAATTCAAAATACATTAATTTAATTTTATTAAAAAATGTTTATTATTTTATTTATAAAAATAATTTATTTATTTAATATGTACAAATTAATAATTGCAACATCTATTAGGAATTGTTATCCCACACGATGGTGTGATTAATTTAAATTTTTACAAAGATTCTTAAAATCTCACATGGGACTTACATATTATTTATAAAAAAGAGTTAATTTTAATAATGGACCTTTAAAACTCATATCAATATATACAAGTTAGATCATCATACCTGCGAAACCTTATTGATTTACATGGTATGTGATCAATTTGAATGCTATGGTGACTTTTAGAATTTCACATGGTAAATAAATAAATAAAACATTTTGTTATTTTTATTCTTTATTATATAATTGGCGGCGAGCATTTATCCAAAGCATGTAACCCCTGTTTGAGAGTAAAACTTCTCTAAATTTCAAATACTCCAAAAGTAAAAGGCATATGGTGTTTGTTTTAATGAGTTTCGTTTTATCAATGAAACATTAAGGAGTCTAATGCTTTAGAGAATTACATATTTGGGCAAACAAAAATAGTGAGATCAAAGAAACACCTAACCATCTAAACTCATCATAGCTTAGAATAACCTAAGAGATCTAATGCAACTAGACTAAATCATGATAAACATCACAAATACTCAAACCATAGAACAAGTAGATTAGATTAGATGCTTCGAATGCCTAAGTTCATAATAAAGGATTGAAAATTTCACAATCATAAATCCAAATGTCTAACTTTCTGTATCATTTTTTTTTGAATTGATATATTATACACCTATAAACACGCTCAGTACATCAACGTATGGAGAAGAATGAACCCAATATCCTTCTTAAAGCAATCATCAACCTATAGTAAGAAATTTGGTAAATGTCAAACAGAATGTTTTCAGCCTTTTAATCCATACATCCATTTAAATTCATGATCGAAAAGAACAAAGAGATTTTTATAATTAAGCTATACAAGAACATATGTAAAATCTTTGTAATGTTCATACACAAGAATGCTCCTAGAAACACAAAATAGAACTAGGAATTCTAACAAAGTGCAAGCCAAAATCAAATGTAAAACATTCCAAATCCAAAAGCAAACAGGTTAGAGAACCTGTGCAATGCCTCTTCCTCCTTGATATCTCCAATCTGCCTTTCTTCTTCTGCTCGAATCACACTTGGTTTCAGAGACTTCCTCAATTCTCTCAGTTTTACTCTAAAAAAAACGTAGAGCTCTTTTAAAAACCCAAAAATTTCCTCTGAACCTCTCAGTCCCTTCTCTAAATCTCTATTGCTTAAAGCCTCTTTCGGTCTAAGCTCTCTCTCTCTAAATTTCTCTCGTCCTCTGTCCTCTCTTTTATCTCCAGATCACTTTCTTCTCCTAGAAATCCTCTCAATACTTTAGTTTTAACTCTCCAAATCCCCTCAATTTTTCTCCAGAAAATCCCCCTTTCAAACTCTCAGTTGCCAGCTTTATATAGATGTAAAGTGTGATTAATAAATCTAAAATCTTACTAGATTCAACTTTAAAAGTTTGCGTTGGAGATGGAAAACTAATTGTATGCTTCACTCCTCTCTGATTACTGCATTCAGCGGCATTCTTGTGCCTGCATTTTTGCTCTGTTCGCTCGTGTGTGTGACTTCCATCTGTGTGCTCTTTGTTTCTAGGTTCCTCTGAATCAGCCGAAGCTTTTGTTGTCTTTCTCTTTTCTTCTTCGTGTGGCTGAGTCTCTCTCTATGCCTTCTCTTTGTGCACTTGCTCTAGTTTTCTTTCTCTCTTCTATCTTTTCCGTCTGCTCCCTCTACTTTCTTTTTGTGCCTAGCCAAGATGCCTTTTAGGGGTGTGGTGAAACGCTGATGATTCAGCATTTCGCCCACCCTTATTTATTTATTTTTATTTTTTTAATGCTCTTTTTTTAGAATTAGATTAACAAAAATATATATTCTTTTAATGAAAAACAAGATTTAAGGAGAAAAAAGTTAACTCTCAAAAGTTGACTCTCAATATTTTTGAATGGTTGGGATAATTTGAGAAAGATTTTTCAAGATCAAAGCATGATATATATATATTTTTGATTTTGTTAAATTATTATATTTTTTAAAATATAATTCTAAAAAGCATTAAATTTTTTTATTTTTTTATTTTAATGAACTAGAAAAAATAAAATCTTGACCAACAAAAGATTATCTAGATTAAAATAAAATTAAACCTATTAATTAAGAATTTTTTTGATTTTAAAAATATAATCTTAAAAAGGATTAAATTTTATTTTTATATTTTTATATTTTTTAGTTAAATTTATTATTATTTTTATTGAATGTAAAATATGTCCGGACAAAATATAGTGTTCACAACTTTAATGTAATACTTTATAAATATTAATAGCTTAAAGTATCCTTTCGATTTTTTTAGTTTTATGTAAAGTTGTTGTTTAATTATTTAATATTTAATTTTATAAATTATTTTTTAGTCCTCTAATTATAATACTATTATTTTCATTGATTATTTTTTGTGTCATTTGTTATTTTTAAAAAATTAAACTTAATATTTTTATTTACAAATTATTTTATAAAATTGGAAAAATAATTAATGCTTTTAATAATTTGTTTAGTGTGAATATTTCTAATGAAAAATTGCGGTCAAGAAGAGAATGGAGAGAAATGCTTGAAATTGGATTTAAATTTATTATATATTTCATTAGAAATATTTGTAAAAAGACATGGTAATTTTAAAAATAATAACTAATTTGAACTAACTTTGTTTAAAATCTATATGAATTAATTAAACATGGGGACATTCTAATGTTAGTCTCATCAATGACCATACCGAATAGAGTTCCTTTTGCTGGGGAAAACCTTCCATTCTCAAAAAGATGGCCTAAGCATTTCGGTAATACGATCGTACCAATATCGTGAAGATGCTCATTTATTTCGTACGATGACTTTGCGGGGATGAATGGCACTGTCGTAATAAATTGCAGAGGGGAGGGCAATTGCACTTAATCTCCCCTCGCATCCACATTTTCCCCACTCTTTACATACTCTGTCTTCTCCTTCAGCCTCGTCACTTCCAACTTCCACAACAATGGAGCTTCAAACTCCGAGCAATAATGGCGGAAGCGCAGAAGCCTGCAACCCCAACAATGGCGAGCTCCACTCCCTCCCTCCCCACGATTCTCAAGGCCTATACGAAGACTATGACAGCACCTGTTCTACTCCTTACGTAAGCGCTCCTTCTAGCCCCGGCCGCCCACCCATTAGCGGCTTCTTCTACAGCGCTCCGGCGAGCCCAATGCACTTCGCTATTACTGCTTCTTCCTTGTCTTCGGTTCGCTCTTCTTCCTATGAAAATAGCACTTCTTCTGTGCCCCTAGGCTACGAGTTTGAATTCTCGGCAAGGTTTGGCTCGAACGGGTCGGGTACCTGGGGTTCCATGAGCTCGGCGGACGAGTTGTTCCTGAACGGGCAGATCCGACCCATGAAGCTTTCGACCCACCTGGAGCGCCCTCAGGTTCTCGCTCCCTTGCTGGATCTGGAAGGAGAAGAGGACGAAGAAGAGGCAGAGGTTGTTGAGTCGCACGTAAGAGGCAGAGATCTAAGGCTGAGGGATAAGTCTGTGCGCAGAAGAACCAGATCTATGTCGCCTCTCAGAAACACGCCTTCCGAGTGGGCTGAAAATGAGGACGGATCGCTAGAGGATTCAAGCTTAGGAAAGCAAGCAGACAAAAGTAGTTCCCTGGAGATTGAAGAAAACGAAAGGGAGAAGATGGATGGGTTGGCTTCAGAGGCTACCCCTTCGTCGTCCAGATCTTCCTCGGCTGGAAGGAGCTCCAAGAGGTGGGTTTTCTTGAAAGATTTTCTCTACAGAAGCAAGAGCGAAGGCCGGAGTAACAACAAGTTCTGGTCCACTATTTCCTTCTCCCCCACGAAAGACAAGAAACCAAACAATCAAAATCAAAATCAAAACCTACCCTCAAAGGACAAGCCGTCTGGTGAAACACAGAAATCGAAAGCAAAGAAGGCGACCGGCAGGCCTGCAAACGGAGTTGGAAAGAGGCGAGTGCCTCCGTCGCCGCACGAGTTGCATTACAAGGCGCATAGAGCTCAGGCCGAGGAACTTCGAAAGAAGACGTTCTTGCCCTACAGGCAGGGTCTGCTCGGGTGTCTGGGTTTTAGTTCTAAGGGATATGGGGCTATGAACGGCTTCGCTAGAGCGTTGAACCCTGTGTCCTCCAGGTAAATTACATTGATATTCATATTATTACTCATGGGGTTTTATACAATTGTACAGATCCATTATTGTCGTCGTCGTCCGCCGCCATCACTTTAAGTATAATCTTTCTGGAACACGGCTGTAATATTTAGAAGGATGTTAGATCAGGCAGCCCAGATATGTACTGATTTCTGGGTCTGCTCTTTCTGGGTTGAAAGGGGTAATGGTATTTCTTCATTTCCCATCATGTATCCTTGTAGATGCAGAGAAACCATGAACCGATATTGAGGTGCACTCGCAGCATTTTACTCTTTTACAGTTAGCTGTGGAGTGACCGTAGCTCACATATATCTACATTATTAACTTCATTTCATAGATCTTGTGTTTACTTTGAAACCCTGTAAATCCTCAATCATTCTCTAATATGAAGAATTTATGTTTCATTTAGGGTTATGCATGCTACTTAATATAATAGTATCAGGAATGGAGATGCTTAATTATCAAGTTATTCTCCGTATGTTTGGCCCTCTGCCTTCAAAGTTGTGAAGTCTTTTTTTGTGGTGAATAAATTCCGCAAATTTTTCGTAAACTATACGAAATCAACGTATTATTGTTGGTATTCTTTTATTGGAGGGCGCATGGCATTAAACGAACCGGAGCCTCTCTTCAAAGTTGGAAGCCAGTGATTTAAAATTAATTAATTGTAAAGAAGTGAATAAAATGTTTTGCCAAATAAAAAAAAAAAACGGGGGAAAATTCAAAGCGTGAGGTTGCATTTGCATGGGATGGAGAATAATCAATAATGGCAATCACGGAGCAGGGTGATTGTTTGGCCATTAGAATTTGATTAAGCAAACAAATTTTGGGGGGCCATACAGTGTTGGACATAGATAGAAGCATGGCCATAATTAAGGCATGATGGATGACAGATCCCTTTGGATTTTGTTAAAAAGGAGGCTTTTGCTAGACTGCATGCGACGACATGGTGTCCTCCAAGACGTTGACATAAAGTTAGGTTTCAGATTATTTGACATTGACTCGCTCCTTCAATAATATTAATATACATCCCATCTCTTGTAATCCCCACTTAACATGTTTCTTCTCCTTTTCGCTTCCTTTCCTTTTCTCATGTTTTTTCTCCTTGCTTTTAGTTTAGTTTTATCCAATCTGCTTTCTTCATTCAGAATTACACTTTATATTATCCTAAATTAGTACACTCAATAGATTTTTTTTTAAAAAAAGTAATGTACATGATAGTTTTGTTTCTAGTTCAGATGTTTGCGAGTCAGATAAATTGAACATTTGAAACTGAGTGTTACACACACACACGCACACACATACTAGACTGATATTTATGGAAACTCATGGAAAATCTACAACAATTGAATTTAAACTAGTTATAAACATGATTCATCTATAGCGTTACCCACGGCACCTTCAATTGTTCTCTCCAAGGACCCCACTTCTGATTGTTAGTAGCAGTTGCCAGTTGTGGGAACTAGTTGGCAGAAAAATTCCACAAAGGATCCGTTACCTACAAGGCACTTGAATGAGGCTCCTTCTCCTTTAGTATGTTCGGGCACTTCAGTTTCGGCGTAAACCACATTCAACTCTGTTACTGAGGCTGTTACACTGGCAGCTAGCTTTGTAAAAAAAAAAAAAGGTGCCATGGTTAATGTTGTTCGATTTACTGTTCAATTAACTATTTTTTTTCATCTGGTTAATAATAAATTCATTGTGTTCAAGTCGGAAAAAAAGAAAATCCCTGAAAGTGGACGGCTTCCAAAAAATTCAACCATATGACAATATATTAATAACAGATTTCACTGGTTGTTCTTGGAATTCCCATCCCTACAATTGCACTCTGCATTCAGATTTCAACGGTGAAGTTATTTATTACCGAGAATCATTGGTTCCTTTTAATGGCTTATGTTATTTATGAGCAGCTCAATACTGTTAAGGTACTAACAAAACATGGGTTCCTTTTAGTAATGCTAGAGTTGGCCACCATAAAACATTCACAACAGTCACAGATGGAAGATATTAAATCCATTCACAATAAGGCAGCGTTTAAACAACACAAAAGAAAAGGAGGGGAATTTCTATATATGAAACACACACACACACACACACACGGAGACACACTAGGTCCTTTGCATGAATGCATTCGTGGATTTGAAAAGAAAGACAAAATAATGTGACATTATCTATTTTTTCTCTCTCTCTATCTTTCTTTGAATATATATCATATACCAGCATGTTTGGAAGATAAGCAGAAATACTTTCCCCCAGGCGTGACAAATTGTTGGATCTTAAGAAAGAACGCTTTCCTTTGTTGCCAATCGTGGGGAAATGCACTATCGTGAGATAACCAAACTTCTTGTATGTTTACTTTTATGAATGTAAATATGTATAAATAAATACACACACACAGAGTTATCATTTCTTTCCCTTTACTCTCTCTCTCTCTAGATATATATACATATATATTTTTGGGTTTTGGCATGTTAAACCAACTGCTTGACCACTAACATATAAATAAATTTTACCAAAAAAAAAACATGAAAATAAAGTCAATGAACGGATCAAAGAAAAGCTAACTCACTGCCTCCTTAGATTGGCTCAAATGGTAAGGGTGGGATGAAATGTAAGCAGACATCAAGAGTTCAAATCCCTTAATGTATATTAAAAAAAAAAAGGTTAAACTTACAAGTGGCCCCACCAATTTGGCGGAAAAGCTATATGGTATGGAGTTACTTCCCTTATTTATAATTTTTTGAAAGGAGGGGGATGGGATAAACATCACATCTCATGCTCTAAGGCCATTTTGGTACAGTGGAATATAGGAAAATGGAATAGGAACGGGGACAAAAATGTTTTATTATGGGAGTAGCCATTCCAATGGAATAGCCCATTATCTCATTTGAGGTAACCCCAATTCTATCAACAAACTTCAACTGTAACCAACATTTCTCTCCCTTCTTATTTTGCTATCAAATCTGGGTTCAAAATTTCAACAACCTCAAAATCGTTCAATAGCTCACCACAAGACCTCCACCTCTCCATCATCGGACCTTCTTTCGCGCACCCTCCGCCGTCTTTCTGTTAACCTTTGTCATCTAACCCTCTGCTTTGCTCTCGAGCTTATTCATTCACCTTCCTCTATCATGGGATCTGGTTTTGGATATCTGTCTTTTGTTGATCTATTGAAATTTGTGAATCTGGCTTTATGTTCAGTTTTTGAATCATATAGGATATGTGTTCAGTTTAAATGAATCATTTGGATCTAGTTCGAGTTTGACAACCTCAAAGCTTTTGATTTTAAATTCGTGAGCCTATTGTATTTGATTTTTTTTAAGAATTTAAATATGGAATTCAAATGTTCTATTCTTTTGGAATTGTTTGCTATAGAATATAAATTTGGTTTGACTTCTATTTGCTTTAGAATTTCTTTAGGATTTGCTATGATTTGTTGCATTCCGAGGAGGAAGAGAATGATGATGGGTATTTAGGGATATTTTAGTATTTTAGTAATATAATTACCTATATAAAACAAAAAATATATAATCATTCCATCCCCATACCTAACACATTTTTTAAGCTCACTCTCTTATACCTATTCTTATACCTATTCCCATTCCATCAAAAGTCATTTCACTATATCAAACAGGGCCTAAACTAAAAGTTCATTTCAATAGAGATCCCATGCCGGTACCAGTAAGCCCAGAATGGAAAATTGTACAAAACCATCTCCGTTTTAACCTCAAGTCATCCTAACAAGTTTGTAATACGATTTCCCAGATGGAAGATCTGTTGTTTTGCTTCACTTTCTATAACTCAATACATGTTCACTGCGAACAACTTGCATAAACAATGTGAATTTGGTATAAATTGGACCAAAAAGGCCCAACTACTCAGGAACTAAAAAAAAAAAAAAAACCTCTAAGCAGAAATTCAGTCAATAGCTCTTCCAACTTTTAACACCAGATCAAGCAACAAACGTAGACAAGACGTTCTTCTTGAGAGTGAGCTCATCTGCCTTGGCAGGGCTGACTGACTGCATCAAGAAACCAACAAAGTTCAAACATACTTTGAAAAAAAATCCAAATTAAGACGTCAAAATTGATCACTTATCGTCAAATGCCAGTTAATGAAAAAAATTTACAGTCCAAACTATTTCCCCTACTTGAGAATTCGTTGCTGCTTTCGTATTATTGACAATTCTTAGCTAAACCTCTCTCATCTATAATTTGTGCTTAGTTGATTACTATAATCACCAGATCCTTGCCTCTAACTTCCAACAAACAAATATGACAAAAACAGCACTATAATGTAACTAGCAAGTAGGAGGATATTTAGCAGCTCCAAATTCCAATATTTGCCACGGGTGTTTTCACCGCAGCGTGACATAACCCAGAATTCAAGCGGATAGTACAGGAAAAGTTGGTTGGTTAAAATGACTAAAGGTCATTACGAGTTCCACTATAAATTTCTTTGGACCGAGCTCCAAAACCCAAAAAAAAAAAAAAAAAGTCCTGTGAAATTCAAAAATCATAATTAAGTACCTTGAGACTTCAGTGAAATTTAAAATTGAGGTAAAAAAACAATAATACATCTATTAAACATATATACATTATATCAAGTCAAATAATTTACAAATACTTCATCAGCAATTTATAATTATAACTTCAACTTTTTACAACTGTAACTTCACATATCTCATAATTAAACTAATCAGTTTAACTATTAAATATATGAAGTTATAGCTGTAAAAATTTAAAATTATAGTTGTAAATTACTGATGAAGTAATCATAATATCAAACTTTGTTAGTAATTCATAAATGTTTCACTATTGGATATGTGAGGTTACCGTTGTAAAAAGTTGAAATTATAGTTATAAATTATTGATGAAGTAGTAAAAAGTTGAAATTATAGTTGTAAATTATTGATGAAGTAGTAAAAAGTTGAAATTATAGTTGTAAATTGTTGATGAAATAGTTGTAAATTAATTATTGAGAAAACATATCTTTTGATTCCTGCACTTTGTTCGTGTTTTGTTATAGGTCCCTACATTTTTTTTTTGAGTCCCTACGCTTTCATTTTCCAGTATTTTAGGTCACTAAATGAACAAAATGAACAAAGTATAGAAACCTTAGATAAACGTAAAACACCAAAAGAAGGTGCAAAAACCTATAGCAAAATACGAGTAAAGTGCAAGGACTAAAAGGCATGTTTTTTCTTAATTATTTGATTGATGTAATGTATGTTTTATAAGGATATCATTGTCTTTATAGCTTAATTTCAAATTACACTCAGATCCCAAAAGACTTAACTGTGGTTTTCAAATTTTATGAGACTTAGTAAATAAGTCTACTCTACAGAATCTATGCATAATTTTCCAAAAAAAAAGCATCGATTTTAACATAACATTATTATTTCTGGTGTGGTTACCGCTAGTTGGAAATAACATTATATCCATTAGTCAGGAAGAAGAACCCTATCCAACATGATAAGATGAAAGCCAAGCATGCATTCAATGTGTTCAGTGTTGGGCAAACTATTTTTATGAAATTGCAATGCACATAGGAACAGGAAAAAAAAGAAGCAGCAGCAGACCTTGTCAAGTATGCGCTCAAGTCTTTGAATCTCCTTGGATGCATAGTCAACTCCTTTTTCAATGCAGTTTTTAGCAGCTTTTAAGTAGATATTGCCATATCTGGGGAAACAAACAAAAGGACAAATTTAGAGGATAAAACGCAACTTCACATTACAAGAATAGCTAGCCCCTAGTTGAACGCCACAAAGGCTTCCAAGTCAAAAATAAAATGAGGCCAAAACTTTGCAACTGGAATAAATAAAATCATAGGATTGTTCAAATGACCTTGCAGCAGAACCCTCAAGTTTCTTGGCTTCTTCCTCAAGCCGAGAATAAACCTCTTTCTTTTCATCACTAGAAGCACTCACAAAATCCTTCACCAAGCCATCCAGAGTTGGTACTATACCAGCCTATACCAAGAACAATCCAGTATTAGAAACAGAATATAATCCCCGATATATCTATCAGTAAGCATAATAGCGTATAATGTTCACCAACTTTAGAAGTAAGCTGCCCTTTCCCATCACGGCTGGTGCCACTTTTCTCATTGATAAAAGTTACAAAGTCATCCAAGTCTCGGCCACCATCATAATCTTCACCAGCTTTATTGCTCCTTGGGAAAAATTTTAGAGTTGGATAGCCACTTACACCATACCTGCAATGGATGCATCTCCAATTAGGCACATAACTCTTAAATATGATATAAACCTAGTTTAATTATGACAAACATTGAATCACACTACTGGACTCACTTCTCAGCAATATCTTTGTGTTGATCAGCGTCAATATTTGCTATTACGACATTTTCCTCTAGTTTGAATGCTGTAGCGACCTTTTCATAAGTCTGCAGAAATAGTGAGATAATTTATCACAATTGACCTGGATATTAATATAAGCAGGAGTATTCAATAATAATAATATAGAGATAGCAAATTTGCTTACAGGGGCGAGGCCTTTACAATGACCACACCTGAAACAAATCATTGTGAAATGATATTAAAATAGACAGTCTTCAAATTTCAAGTTTTTTCAGTCAATACAAGCAAAAGGATTATCCCAATTCCAAAACATTATCGCAGATCATAGCATGCTCTTTTTTCCCCCTGATTGTATTGAAATGGTCTCATCAAGGAAGACACTAAACCTATCCTTACCATGGAGCATAGAACTCAACCAGAACGTCTTTTGTTTCATCCAAAACAACCTGATCAAAGTTATCTGGAGTGAGAACCACCACACTGGATGGGACAGAAGCTATTTTCACATTGGTACCTGCATTAATAAGACCATTTGGACGTCAAAGACAGATCGAGTGCATGTCAGAAGATAAGTTGAAAAAACAAGAGATGTCATGCAGAAGTAAGAATGAAAGACAAACAACCAAGGTCTCTGAAGAATCAAACTAGACTAGAGATGTTTAAAAGGATGCAAATAAAATTTAATAACAATAATCCTTATAACATCAACATGCAGCAAATAGCAATAATCATTAGACAAAAAGTCAGAGGTTGATGCACAGTCCGCATAAAAGTGAGTCAAAATTGATGATAATTAACATTTCAATTAAAAAAAAAATCAATTTCAAGCAATTAGTTATGCTTGAACGCAACAAATTAAGTGTCTCTTTTTAAGTAGTAGCAAAAGACAAACGTAACCATCTTTAACTACCACAAAAGTAGCATGAGGTCCAAACTGCAAAAGATTGAGAGTTTACAAATTTTCTCCTCACCCCATTAACTAGGCAATTATTTGAAACTAGGTAAAAGTTTCAGCTAGAACTTATTAATTGAATGCATAAGCAGTATGCAGAATGACAACCTTGTTTTAGTGTACATGTGATATCAAGCATATAAGCCGTGAAACATAAAAGATAAACATCCAACAACAGCATAGTTCAACAAACTGGCACATATTTTAGATGAATACCTCCTTCTTTGTTTACAAAATCAGCAAGGGCTTCTGCAGTACGTGCACCTTCATACCTAAATCACAGAGAATTTGATCGTGTGGATGATCAATTCTATGAAGAATTTCAAGTTCTATGAACATAAGTTGATGAAATTCAAAGAATAGACAAAAGAGGACTCTAGCATTATTTCACATTTCATAATGAAAAAAGTTTGAGGTGACAAAAATTGCCAAGCACTCACTTCTTTGGTTCCAATGACCCATTAGGAAACCATTGAATTGTGGGATAACCAGAGACACCATATTTGCTGCAAAGGCTTTTTTGATCATCACAGTCTACCTGCAATAGGAGCCATCAATGGGTGAAACTGTGAAATCCCATTCAAACAAGAAAGGATGGGCAGCATGAGATCTAAGGACATCACCAACCTTCGCAATCAAAATGGATTTGGCTTTTTTAAAACTTGCTCCCAGTTTTTCATACTCTGGTGCGAGCCTTTTACAATGTCCACACCTGCCATGGGAAATGTTATGAGCATAGCTTCCAAAGCACCCTGAAGTATGTGCATGAAAAGCGTGGTAACAAATGGTTTGTTGAAAGAAAGGGGCAAAACCGTCTCTTCTGGTCTACATAAGAAATAAGAATGACTAAGAAGTTATATTTTACAGCTGACAGACGAGAAAAAATTTGTTTAGTTTAAGAATCAGCACAAAGCAGACGCATAGGATGCCAAAAACCACAAAATCAATTGATAGTACGTTTATGGTCCAAGAAAATGAAATTTGCAATCCCCCCAGGGGGATCAGGACAGCATAACAAGAATTAACGAGGCAAGGATTTATATTTCTGAAAAGAGCTAAAATTATCAACAATTCGTTCCTGTTATGATCACAGCACCCCTGAAATGCAGTGTGAGCGACAAGAACGTAAAAAGGGGGAAAAAAACAACGACAACGACATAAATACCATACTATGCAATAAGAATCGTAGAAAATTGCATTATTCCCTGATATCACTTGAAGACTAATTAATCATGTACTTGAACCGCATTAAACAATTACGTAGAGATCACAATCCACTAGTTGCGATTCGAGCATACTCAATCTTATTAGCTACAGATCTCCCGTGAAATAAACGCGACCCACAAACTAATCAAATTCTAAATCCATCAGCTCAGCATCAAGACGTTAAAAAACGAAAATAAAAAACAAATCCTTGATAATATTCAGGGATAAGATAAAAACCGTCAACCGAAATACAATAAATTCCAGAAACAAAAACAGCGATTTAGACATAATTGAAGTACAGCTCAATTTATTGGGAGAGATATTTGCATACCACGGAGCGTAGAACTCGACAAGAGCGGCGCGATCTTGGCCAACTTCTTGATCGAAGTTGGCCTCCGTCAGCACGACGACGTCGTCGGCCGAAACCGATGAGACGAATACAAGAGCTAGTGCCCCCAGAGCAAACCAAATGCTGAAGCTCGACATTGTTACCTGCTCCCTCTTCGATGAATGCAAGTGTGATCTGTCCTTTGTGCCTCTGGCTCTCAGGTCTTACGTTTCCGATTTATACTTTTTTTTTTTCAAAAAAACATTATTGCCTAATGACGTACTCCTCCTAATACTATCAATAATTTCACACATTTCAATAAAAATTAATTTTTTATATTATAAAAAATTGATATATATTTTTATTTTTATCATTCAATTGATTTTAACCATAATAGTAGCAAGAATCGGATTCTAACCCATAAACATGTAAGACTAGATTTGAAGGTCTATATTGTAAAATCCAAAAACAAAAAGTTTTCAGCATGGCCTGGTTCTTCATCAAGGTTTGAAGGCAATATTTTGTTGATTTTTATGTTGATAAGGAGAAGAACATTGTTATCAAAAGTAGTTACACCAACACTAAATATGTAACCATGACCTTTGAACTAAAACCCTAGCATCTTCGAACTTCTTTACCTATGACCTTCAAACTCAGACAAAGAAATTGATATGCAACTCACATGATGATCAACAACACTAATAAGGTTGTGACATGCAATGAGGGATGACGTTTGACAGATGATGGAGCTCAACAGAAGTTGTCAGTGATGTTAGAGATAACAAGTAAGATTAGTGACAATGAGAAGGAACGTCTAAAAATAAAGTTAAGATAAAAAAAATTTAGAAAAATAAAATTTTCCTTATCCTCATCGAAAGAATTCAAATTCCACTCTCTTCTTTGAAATTTGATATCCAAGCAATTAAATTCTTGCCAACCAAACCAAAGAATTTTCTCTTTCCCCTACCTTTTCCTAAGTCTAAATTCTAACCAACCAAACGAGCCCTAACAGTAATTGTAGAAAAATCATCCATGACCGTGCAGGCGATGGAGAGCTGAAAGTGAAACTGAAAATAAGGGAACTAATTAAGATAAAAATAATGGCTTAAAAGGGGGCGTTGCGAGAATCGAACTCGCGGCCTCTCGCACCCGAAGCGAGAATCATACCACTAGACCAAACGCCCGATCATTGAAGGGGTAATTTATTATTAATATAACATCATCGTCAACGTGGTGGTTGATCGTACCAGTAATATTTGCCCAAATATTTAATCTTCGAGAAAGTGAATATTGTATGCCTCAAACTGCAACAAAAGTTTGTAAAATAGTGGTGATGAACAGGATTTTCGTTCTTTTTTCAAATTTCCTTGTGATTTGTATTTTTTTTTTCAACTTACATATACAGTAAACAAGGTTAAATTACTTTGAAAAGTTAATGAATTGTTTAATATACTAAAAAAAATTAAGAAGTTATCCTGGATTGTAAAATGAAGTTCATGAATAAACGGTACACAAATTAGGAAATGAAATATTAAATTAGCTAATAAATCAAATACTGCCTTCAGAATCTACTTCTTATTATATGACGCTTACTCTAAAGGTTCTTTATTTTATAATATAGGACACTTGATGAAACTATTATTTTTTTAATATTATATATATATATATATATATTTAAACTTATTAATTATTAAAAAGAATGTAATGTATATGTAAAAAAAAATTCATTTAAACAAAGAAAAAAATAAAAATTTATTCTATTTTTAAACAAGCTAATAAATGTAACCATATCTCTTTGATTTTGATAAAATAATTAAAAGTGTTTTATAATAAAAATTGGATAGAGTAAATAGTTAACAACAACTTAACAGGAACCAAAATCAGCATAAGTTCTTGGGCTCTGTAGCAGTAATAATTAGAATAGTTTTTCATAATTCATTGTAGGCCGTTTATAATTAACCCGAGGCAATTGCGTATCAGGGACCCGCAAAATTGTGGCGCAGTACAATCTTTAAGCAAGAGGCACGAGATGGAAACCCAGCCTTGCTTTGTTAGTACGTTTGGAAGTTTATGATTAACTGAAAAAAATGATAATTAATGAAATGAAACTAAATAAAATAAAATAAAATTTTTCATTGTTTGAAAAAATTTTTCGGTAAAACATTGTTTGGAAGTTTTAAAATACAAAAGAAATAGTTGTTCATTACCATTATTTGAAAATTATTATAAAATGAATAAAACGAAGCGGTTTAAAATTCTTTTTTTCAAATATTATCTATATGACTAAATTTAAATGCCCATTAAATAATTATAATATTTATGTAACAAAAAATAATAATAATTAAAATTAACGATTAAACAATATATTCAAAAATTAAAAATAAAAAGAGAAACAAATAACATAGCTATTTAAGTAAATATTTTTATTGCACATGAAAAAAACACAACAATTGTAGTGTTAAAAGGCACGACAGAGAGAGATATGACGAGGAGGACGGGATAGCTATATACTATGACTGAATGTCCAATCAATTCAATCTTGCCCAAAGCGTTTGGGCACATGAGGACAAACATTGACAAGGTCAAACCTTGTCTTCTGCCCCTGTACAAATTTTTTTATTTTTTAAATTTTTTGTTAATAATATTTATCTTATTGCATTGTTTTTTATTAAAAATTAACATGAATTATATTATTTTTATGATGTTTTAAACACTTTTTATCATTACAATTTTTTTAAAATTCTTTCAAAATTTAACACTTATTTTTAACTTATTATTATGTAAAAATAATTGACAATTGTTGCTCATTTGAACTTTTAAAAAAATATTTTTGATTTTAATATTAATTTTATGAAGAATATATTTTAAATAACAATAATAAATTTTCAAAGAAAACTCTTTTATATATTTTTTAAAAAAAATACTTGTAAAAATTTTTTTGAATCAATCAGTTTAGCCTAGGGCCCAAGTACACATTGGGTTGAAGTAATGTCTGACCCAACCCTACTCATATGTAACCTTAGCAAGAGACGAGAGAGATGGCCAGACAATGGAAATAACATGAATATTTTTTTTATTATAATAGGAGGGTGGAAAAAATTTTATAAATAAAATAATTATACAGTGCCACTCCATCCTTCACCTCCCAATTTGAGGAGACAAAAAATATTAAGTTATGAATGACCAAAGAAGGCTTTAAAAGCCCTTCCTTACCATTTCATCATTCTTTAAAAAAAAAAAACTCACAACCAATAACTTATGTCATTTAACCATTAATTCCATTCCTCCTTAAAAAAAATTTCCAAGCATAGTGTATCCGCCAAATTGCATAATACTTTCAATTTTAAAAAAGAAAAGACCAAGATAGCAACTAGAGTTTTTATATAGATAGATTGTACTAAATCTTAAATCTGCCTCATCTCACTTTCTCTCTCATTACATTAACATTTAAAATGAATTATTATGAAAAACGTTTTGGGTTACTTGGAAAAAATATCCAAAATTTTTCTTTGGGATTCATCGAGTATGAATAAAAAATCTTACCTTCTATCTTAGAATTGCATTACTTCAGATAAAAAAGATGATGGTTTTACACAACAAATATCAATGTAATAAACCCATTATTTTCATGGTTGTTAAACCTAATTCTTGTTCTGACACCTGGAATAACATATGTAAAGTTGGGAATAAGTTTATGTCCCAGGCTAATTAAAAAGTGGCTAGAGATGACTAGATATCATTCTAGTATGATAAATGTTCCCCCCTCCCTAACCCTCTTATTAGATATACTTTCCATAGTGATAGTCCCAACTCTATTCTTCACACTTGAGTCTCGAATTCCAAAATATCATAGGTGGTTGGAACTTTGATCTTTTAAAACGCTATCTCTATTTCCATGTCATTAGATAGATTGTACTTATACAACCTCCAAGCCTCTTCTAACAGTAACTTCTCTATTAAATCTATAGAGTCCCCAAAGGATCAAAATCAATCTGAAATGTGGTCCAAAATTTAAAAATGGCCCACCTATGAACAAATTGAATTCTTCCTCTAGAAAGCTGGTTGAGAGCGTCTTTAAACAAACTACATGTGTACTAATAGAAATGCTCTATAACAACAACCTTGCCTTATGAGTTGTAACTCCATTGACTCTTCTATTTATATTTTTCATGATTGTAAGGAAGCTAAAGAGATATAAAAAAATTCAGTGAATCCTACAAAATTTAATACTTTTTTCTATCTTGATATGCTTTTTCTCTCATGATGTGTAAAACTAGATAACTTAGAATGCTAAGAACGAAACTAGTAGTTTGATTACAAGAAAAATTCCTTGATAGAGACTTTTTCCCGAGCATGTTAGAATATATGGAAAGCCAGATGTCAAAACATCTATTCTAAAAATGATATTCTGAAAAGTGACATTACCTTATCCACTCAACAGATAATCAATGATATGAAGCTTCAATCTAAAATCAACCAATTGAACAAAAAAGGCAACAGATTCGAAGCTGAATGGAACCCTCTTAAACTTGGTTGGATAAGACTTAGACATTATTGGCTCTGTTACTACTTGGTGCTACCACTTGTGAGGATATTATTAGAGATGACAAAGGAAATTAGAGCAAGGAATTTTCCAAGAACTTTGGATACTATCTCAGTACAATAGCTGAACTCTTGAGAATTTTAAAAGGCCTCAATCTATGTTGGAATAAGAATCTATTTAAAATTAACGTCTACTCAGATTCCATAGAGTTTATCACTTATTAACAATATCAACTATGATAACCATCCTCTCTCCCCAATTATCAAAGATATCAGGGATTTCATTATGAAAAACTGGGTGATAACTTTTGACCATATTTATAGGAAAGCCAACAAATGTGCTAATCCTTTAACCCATAAGAAGTTTTATCATCATTTTAATATTTGTATCTTTGATAAACCACCCCTCAACTCTAACAGCCTCATGATATAGACCTCACTAGATATTAGTTTCTTGCACAGTTGTACCGTAGTCTCGTATTAAAAAAAATATTATTATAATATGCTAAAACTGGCTCTTAATGTACTGAGTTATAAATGTTTAAAATGCCCATACCCAAATAGTATTTTTATATGTTTTCCAAAAAAAAAAAAAAAACAGTAGCAGACAAAAGTAAAGCCATACCGCTCCTACTCTACAGCAGCGACAAGCTACCAGCCAACCATGTGTTTACTGCAAAGCACAATGAGTTCATCAATTAAGGCTTAATGGGCCCCACGCATTCTTTCATGAATCATACAGAGGTGGTCTTTGTCTCTTTTTCCCCCCGCCAAAGATAAACTTTGTACGACACTGCAATTTCTTTTGTTAAGGGCAATTTTGTAGGAACACCACCTCCAACTGACGACAAGAGAAAAACAAGGCAGTAAAAACAGGATACCGAGGCCAGCCCTTCTGATCTGACAGCAGCGGATGGACTCATTTGATGTACTGAGAAAGCCATTTGAAGCCATCTCCGTAACCCATTTTCCTCACAATACTGCACATGAAAACCTCCATGGGACGCACATTTGAGTCCGCCATGCTAACCTTACCCTTGCCGGTGGTGAAGTTGGACAGCCCTAAGTGGTAACGCAGCTCATCTTCTGAGGCAGCATATGGTATATCAATCTTGTTTCCAAGAATAAGGAATGGCACGTTCGCCAATGCCTCGTCCGACAGCAGAGCATCCAATTCTTTTTTTGACTCGGCAAATCTTTCCTTGTCAAATGCATCCACCAAATATACCACTGCATCCACCTACAATATCAGACAATGATCACACTTTTGATATCATTAAACTCATAACGGATGCGTAAGAAAGCAAAAGAGTCAGGCTACTAAGCACAATTATCAGGAGAGAACTAAAAAAGGAAACATCCGGCTAATCGCAAAGACTGGTGAATGACGTCTGCCTCCCATGAGTCATTATCAGAAAGAAATGACGTTTTATTTAGCTGGGGATAAAAGAGATGCTTTACCTTTAGAAGAGTAGGACAAATGCAAAACTCCATGAAAAAAATGTAAAACAAACCAGAAAATCAGATAAACATGATAAACGCCATCAGCAAACTCAAACATACTATGTCTGCCTCCCATGGACCAGGTAGATATAGATGTTCATACAATGTTTAGCTAGGACTCGGAAGGTAGAGTTTCAGAACTGCATTTAACTATTTAAATAGACGCCATTTTTACAACATTTTATGGAAAAATTTAAAACTTACATAGCTTAATCCTAAACTTGGTAACTCCAGTATTGAATATAGGAAGATGACTTTATCCCTAGCAAACAGCTAGACCTAAAAGTTCACAAATTCAGAGTGTTTTTTCGGCCTGAAACAAATTCAGAGTAAAGCATCTGGACCAGCTATAAATTGCCTGTGCAATGAATAGTGAGACGGCGACTGCAAATTCATAAAATAAAATGTCCAAAAGAACAATACATCAAGGCCCTTTCTTTCTGGTCTGAAATTCAAAGCCATATTTTAATAATATTTTTTCACCAAAACATTATATTCGTGCACCTTGGCATAGTAATCTTTCCAGACTCTCCGAGCAATCTGGTGACCCCCAAGATCAAAAGCTTTGAACTTGATCTTCCCAATACTCAACTCTTCCGATGTGGGATACTGTGTTGGCTGATGCTGGACTAATCTCTGCCACAGAAATTCTCATAATAAAGATGTTATGTCAAGACATCAATAGCAGGAATACAGACATAGAACATGGTAATGCCCGGAAGCCACCAACTGTGAAATATATATTTGATGTCATAATGAAGACAAAACATTTCATGAACTATGGTAAAGTAGAGAAGCTACCAGCTTGAAATAAAAGCATAGCTACGTTTCTTCCCTTTTGGGCAAATAAAAATATTTATTTGATATAACTAGAAAGCGTATCTACCAAATGTTCCCAGTGGTACTACTCAGAAGGGAAAATCTTTTCTCAGAAAAATACAATAGAAAATGGGATTAATTTCCACCAACAGATAATATTGTCGCAAGTTCTTTTGGGAAAAATTATCGCTATATGTGCCTAGGGCATTATACGGAATGGGGGAAAAAACAATGACAATTCCATCTAAAAACCTTAATGTCTTCTGAAGGCTTTCCTGAACCGAACATTTCCCGGCCAAAAGCCCTGACTACAGGGGCATGATACTTAAAAGAAGCGCGGTTATATTTTACAATAAACAAATTGTGGGGCAGATTTCAAACATAACATATAATTTGCTAGGATTGCCCTATCTCTTTCGTCTCCTTCTTCACGAACTGAATAGCATCTCCAGAGAGAGAGAAAAGGAAAGCAAGAAAGAAAAAGACTCAACCCTAATCCCTATTGACGAATAAACATAAAATAACGGAAGAGATTTCAAAAGTCGAAAGCAGGGATTGAATGGAACCAGAAATGAACAAACCTCGTCTTTGAGCATATGAAGTAATGTGGTTTTGCCTGCATTGTCGAGCCCCAAGAATAAGATCTTGGCCTCCTTCTGCCACAATCCAAGCGATGCTAGAATGCCATAAAACCAATCGAAAATGAACATGGCCTCTATCGATTTATTGAATCGATCTCACTACAATTCAGCCCCAATAAATATCACCGCCTGATGGCTGAAGCAAAGGGCAAGTTTTCAGAAAGAGAACAAGATCTAACCCCAAAAACAGAGTCTAGATAGGGAGCGAGCGAGGGATGGATGGAGAAGTTACACTAGGGTCTGGTTGCTGAAGCAAAGTGGCATCTGGCCAATTCGGATCCTAAATTGTAAAATCTGGACCGTCCATGTATGAATGGACAGCTTTTTAATAACGAAATATTTTTATAAAACGAACATATTAATGTAATGGACATAATTTATTCATGGTAAAAAAAAGGGACGTAATTTATCGTTAAAAAAAAACCTGTAGACATATAATTCATAAAAAATATGTTCGCTTTTAGACTCTGTACAATGCATATATAATAAGTATCTATAGTTTGTAATAAAAAATTATTATATTATATTATAGTTTGTAATTAAACCAAACACCCAGTAGCCACGCGCTTCCAACCCCTCTCCTAGCCATTCACTCCTTTGGATCTATAGTTTTTGGCAAAATCACCGAAATTTCTTTTATCTAGCTTGGTGACTTGGTGTTAAAACTCAGCAAATGAAATTCATTTCCTCCATGTCACTGTACTGTTCATCAAGATATAAAATAGATACTCCAATAGTTTACTCATGTTTCTTTTTAAAAACGTGAATTGTCTTATTCTACTTCTGTTTTTACTGTTAAGTTTTGAACCTTCAATTTTGTATTTCTGTTTTATTTGTTAATATAATTGCTCTTTTATATAAAAAAAAAAAAAGAGTAAAGCGAGGGAGTAATGCTATTATATTGTTTAATATTGATGTTTTTAATAATTAATAATTTACTTTTAAAAAAGATTGTAAATGTAACGAATTGAATAATAAATATTGGACGTAGGATTATTTGATCTGGATCAATGTGCATGCTATCAAATAACAAAAATAAAATATGCATATTTAAAATGAAGTGTTTGTTTGTGAATATTTAAATTTAAATTGAATACATATTTGTATACTAATTGCCATAGAAATGTTCATGCAATCTGGACAAGAAAAGCATCCTGACTTTTTTTTTTTTAAAATATAAACAAGCATCCTGACTTCAATGATGACAAAACCAAATCTTGTGGACAAACTAATTTTCCTAATTTACTCGACTACGTTTTTGTTTTTTTTTTTTGGGTTCGGCCTCAGTCAAAACTCAAAAGGCCCACTGGGTTGAAAGACCGGAAACCAGCCTGCCAACAGGTTTTAGACAAATACGAAAACTAGAATCACCTTCTTAAATGCCACTGGTCCGTTCTGAACAATCACGTCAAAACGAAGAAATGGCAGAAAAGGAGCGGCGAATCCTGGTGGCCGTGGACGAAGGAGAGGAGAGCATGTACACCCTCTCCTGGTGCATCCACAATCTCGTTTTCCCAAATTCCAACGATATACTCATTCTCCTCCACTGCAAGCCCCCTCGTCCTGTTTTTCCCGCCTTAGATGGCACCGGTTCGTATTGATCAAATCGCTCCCATGCCTTGTCTTTGCCTGTTTGTTCTTTTTTATTTTTCTGCTCCCCAGTCATATCCCGTCAGAGCTTAACCATGTGGTATTATTGTCAGGATATCTGTTCTCTTCTGATATATCGGTGACAGCGGAGAGGTGCAGCGACCGAGTGGAGAATGGTGTCGTCGAGAGAGCCCAGAAATTGTGCGTGAATCTGCAACAGGTGCGTTAGAGGTTTGATTTTGTTGTGGTTAGCGACAAAGGTGGAAACGGGAAGAAATAAGAATGCAGGAATGATGGAGTGGTAACTGGTAATGGTGGATGAAATAGGTGAAGGTGGAGACGAGAGTGGAGAACGGGGATCCGAGGGACGTGATCTGTGAGATGGCGGAGAAGCTGGGGGCTGATGTGCTGGTGATGGGAAGCCATGGGTATGGCCTCATCAAGAGGGCTCTCCTCGGGAGTGTCAGCAACCACTGTGCTCAGAACGTCAAGTGCCCTGTCCTCATTGTCAAGAAGCCTAAAACTTCGCTTCCCCCTTCCCACTCCTGATTCATTCGCTTCCTTCCTTCTTTCTCCCTCCTGTGCTGTCCTGTTTACGTTGTAATGTTTGTTTATGTTTTCCAATCCAGTTTCATTTTGAAAATAAAGCACACTCATTGTTGCTGATAGGCTGTATAAAGGGTTGGATAAAATTAAACTTTACCAAACTTAAAATCTGACCTCTTTCTTTAATATAGGCTATAAAAAAAGAAAAAAAAATTGGGTTAGCCAACTTATCTTATAATTCAGTAGGTTCAATTATAATTTAAAAATTAATAAAATCAAACTTGATTCATAAATTAAAAAATTAGTCTCATAGTTTAATACTCATTTAGTATTTTTTTAAAAGAGAGATAACAATTCATTTCATTTTGATAAATTCAATTATGATAATAAAAATAATTATAATTATAAAAAATTTATAACAATATCTAACAACAGTAAAAATTCAATTACAATTTAAAAGATTTGAATTTATAATTTCAACAACAGTAACAACAACATTCAATAAACTTCAATAATATGTTTAATGTACATTATAACAATTCAGTAACAAGTTGAATTAAAATTATATTAATAGAAGGGCGAAATGTAAATAAAAAAATAGTGTATTTAAATTTTAAACTATTTAAATACATTAAAAATAGTTAAAATTATAGTAAAATAATTTTATAAGATTTGTTCGAACAAAGTGGTCGGAGAGCTTAGTCTCCTATTTGGTCTAATCTGAAAATTTAGTCTAATCTTTATTCAAGTTGGATTGAGTAAGACAATACAATCAAATATTTGCACAAGGTTAATCACTCAGCATTAACTTACTCTCTCCATTTTTATTTATAAAAAAAAACTATCATTTTTAGCTTGTTTTTTTTCATATAAACAAAATTATATTTTTCAATAGACATTTATTGCAAGCTTTTTAAATTACTCCTTATAATTTTATCATTTAAAATTATAAAAAATAATTAATGAAAGATTAATCAATACAATTAATAAAAAATATTATAATTTAATTTATTTATTTTTAAATATAATTAATATAGTTAATTAATTTTATTAAACCGAAGGGAGTATTATTTATTAGTTAAAGCCATGAGCCTATGAGCATGCCTTGCGCACCTAATCATCCACTTTGCCTCGAGGGACAAGCAGGAGATGATGATACTCCTCGGATACTTACCCTTTTTTGTTTAATCATGATTGCGTGTTAGAATTCTTCAAGATGCTTCTCGTATCTCCTGCCCTTTTTGTCAGCCGACTCGATGAGTGACGGCATTGCCATTTCTAGGAATTTACATTACAGCCGGGCATTTTTTTTTTTTTTAATGGAATGGACAGCCGTGCAATTTAGAAGAAATATATATACGGCGATTTTTTTTTCTGATAAACAAAAGTTCGTTTGGATTTTAGTTGGGTATAATAGATTATGAAAATAATTGATTAAGTGGTAGATTTTAATCATAATTGATTATGTTATAACGCAATCTGTTTGAATATTATTTTTCTAAAATTGATTTTAACAGAATTAAAGATGTTTGGATAATTTAAGTAGAATCAATTTTAGTTATATAAATTACTATATAATTTAATTTTTAAATACCAAATATCAATTTTTTGAAGATGCAAAGTTCAAATTTTATTAAGAAAAAAAAAAGAGAAAAGAAGAGAGTTTGGTTTTATTTTTATTAAATTGTGTGCTTTTTTTATAATTTTTGCTTGGGCCTGTCTTTGTAATTTTCCCCAATATTTTGGACAAGCTTCTCCGCAGAAGCTCTGATTCTTAGCTTCGGAAATAATCGATTTTTGGCCTGAAAATCGATTCTCCAAAAAAGTGGGTGTTTGGATAATTTTTTGGAGAATCGATTTTTTAGGTCAAAAATCGATTATATTTACTATCCAAACACACTGAAAGTACTCAAATAACTTTTAAAATATAAAATAATTTAAAAATATTAAAATTTTATTAAATAAATGTATTTTAATATTGTCTTTTTTCTCTCTATTTAATTTTTATCCTTCTTTCTTTAGCATATTAAATAAAATATATTTTTTAAATTTTAAATTTCTGTTTTGAAAAAATAGATTGTTAAACATATTTTATGAGATTTAATGATTTATTGATATGTGAGATTTTATCTAAAAATGTGTTATAATATATAATGAAGGGAATGTAATATTAACACGCAAATCATTATGACAAAGCATTAGAGTTTAAAACCGTTAAAAGTGGTGAAATTTTAAAGCCAAGGTTTCTATTATAACGAGTTAAAAACTAGCGAAAACGAATACACGATTTCAGTTTTTTTTCTTTTCTTTTTTTTTTAAGCTCACGGCGTGGCAATATGGATGAGGTTCAACTTCACATTAATGCTACCAAGTTAGCATTACTTACTCTTTTCATTTAAAAATATAAAATATTTTTAATTGAATATCACTTCTTAATAAAGTAATTACATATTTTTTAACTAATCTTATCTTTTTATATTTACCGTTATTAAATACCTTACAATAAATATAAAGTCATTATTAATAAGAGCACTTTTAAAAAAAATAATAATATCTCAAAAGATTAAAAATGTCTTATATTTTTTAACATTTAACTCTTTCTTCTTCCTTTTTAAACCTAAATTCCAAATACATTTTAAACTAAAATTTTACAAATTAAAGTGTATAAAACTTGAACTTTGAGACCATCTCACTTTTAAATATTTAAAATTAATTTTCTTAACTTTTAACTTTTTGTCAAAACCCTCTATCATAAATTAATTTTGTTATATTATTAATAGAGTTTCTTATGTCATATTAAGAAAAATCATATAAAGCTTACATGATTATTTATGTAAGCAAATAATTAATGTATAAAAATTATATTATTTTTAAATATTTAATTTTGTATTAGTTTTATTCATTTTTTTGTTACGAATGGTTTATAGTTTTTTATATTAAAAAATAAATTTTTATTTATATAATTTTATGAACGACAGCTTTTAATGTTTTTTTTCATTTGTTTAATATAAAAATATATTTTAAATAATAAAAAATAATAAAATTATAATTTTTTTAAATTATATTAAGAGTGAATAATGAGAATAAAATCACTCAACTAAAAAAATAAAAATATTATCATATGCATTAAAAGTAAAAGATTTATTTTCCTGACATTTTTTAAAAAATTTAATATTAAAAAACATAAGACATTTCGAAATTCTTAAAATGTAATTTTTATTTTTTAAAAAATACTCATATTAAATAAATTACTTTATAAAATTTTAGGACAAAATATTTTATTAAATAAAAATAAATATAAAAAAATAAAATTAATTTAAAAATAAATAATTATTTTATTAGGGATAAAATTTAATTAAAAATGTTTTATATTTTTAAATAAAAAAAAGTATATAGTGTTGTCTCACCTTAAATTAAATTAAAAATTAATAAAAATATTTTTTCACGTCACGTGCTATCAGTATTTTACTAATCTGATGTGACAAATTTTACTAATAACAAAATGATATGAGGCTTTAAAAAATAAATTTTAAAAGTGATAAATAACAACCCCAAAATTTATAACTTCTTTCTTTCCTTTTTTACATTTTGTCAACTTTTTATCACTTGCAAATGGCGCTCGATCGAGTTTTCTCATAAATAATAATCACAGGTCCGCTAACAATAACAGGTAGTTTTGAAAGTTTAAATTAATTGCTCCAATACTTGTAATGATACTTTTTTAAAAATTTTGAAATTATTCATATTTTCAGAAAAATATAAATATAAAAAATTCGTACAATATTAGATCAATCAACTCAACCAATCAAATTATAATTTAAAAAATAATAACTTCAATTCTGAGGTGCGCGCCCAGGCATTCAATGAAGCAATACTACTTTCATTTGAGGACACTATGGCATGCTAAACCCGATTCGTTTCAACAGCAGAAACTCATGGAGTTCCCCAACTTCCAAACCACAGCCAAACTCGTCATCAGTTAGCTTTATCTTCAAGCTTTTGCTTGCCAATGTAAGGAATAAAAAAAGAAAGGGGGGGGGAGATTATCGAAGAAATCAATTAGAACTCAGAGAGACGTTTTTACCCTGTTCTAATATGCTGACAAAGTTAAACAGGACAGAAGATAAACCTCAACCCTTTTTTGCTTACAAGTTGCAGCGTTCCAAGGTTTGCCCCAAAAACAGAAATTCCTACCCTTAAAATCGATATGGGAAAAAAAAAACGACAATAATGAAGCACTCATGCCCTATCCTGGGAATATTGGTCGCTTGCAAACTCCTTAAAGCTCATCCTGCAAAGGCAACCCCCGAACAGAACTTATTAAAGAAATAGCAGTAAAGCATGTTTTAGAAGGGTGACATTGCTAGCAAAAAACTTACATGCGCATCCTCTTTCTTATCTTCAGCATCTTCGCCAGCTTCCGCCTCATCTCCTGCTTCATCAGTATCAGCATCCTCTTCATCTTCGTCGGCCTACAAAGGATGCAAAATTTATCAGGACCAATATAAGTGCCGATGGACTACAAATTTGAAAACCAAATATTGGGCTTACATCAGAATCGACTGGATCATCCTTTGATTCCTGGTACAACATTCAAAAGACAGGACAGCTATGTGAGGATAGAGTTCATGCTCATTCACATTAAGATCAATTTCATAAATGTTCACTTTTCTCGCGAAGCTCCTTATTAATTGAAAAATAGAAGGGAAACAATTACCTCTTCCTCTCTCTTCTTTTCAGCCTCTTCAAATGCTGCCTTCTCAGCCTGCAAAAGAAAAATCAGGCGTCAAAAAGATTCAACAATAAATTCTCCCTAGATCACAAAAGATTGAGTGAGTTAAAACTGCTTACATCCTTCTGCTTGCCCCATGTTTCTTCAGCCAATTGTTTAGCATATTCCGGATCATCAGTAATTAAGACATTGTCAAACAGCGTACCAGATTTCACCTGACAATAGAAGCAGCTCGTGTATCAAAGACTGGCTTTCATATAACTAACTCCAAAAAGAAAACACAAGTTTACTTGAAAAGTAAAGAAATTACCTGCCACAATTCAATGCCCACATACTTCAAGTTGGGGAAAACATAGAGCTCAGGATCATCCTTGAAATCTGATAAAAT